AGGATCTAAAAAGTTGTCTACATTTACGTTATTCTCTTGCTAACTTAAGCATCGGAGCTCGTGTGACTAGAGTCACACCGGTTTAGCTCGATTTGGTTTTGCAGGTACTAGTCCCGGATCAACAAGTTTGGTGGGTGCGAGGAAGTGGACCGGAGGACCGAAATCCACGCATCAACATATCTATATATCTTTTTTAATACCCATTAACCATATGAATTATTAGAATCTTTAAATTAAAAGAAATTTTTTATTTCCTTTTACCCTTAAACTTAAATTGGACCCTTGAATAAGTAAAACTAATACCTTCAATTATATATATTTTTTATTTTGGAAATTTGTGGCTAATGTGAATTTCTATGGTTGGATGATTTTGTTTCTCTTGGAATTGGTTATTACTGTCATCTTGAATACTAATTAGTCAAAACATTTTTATTGGTTAAATTCAATCTAATTAATTTATTAGTTCGCCCGTAAATTTTTAATTTATTTAAAACACTGTTAATTTAATTTCACCACTTATTCATATTTTAAATTTTAATAGTGTAAATTAAAAATTAAAAAACAAAAACAGTTAATTAGAAAGAAGTTGAAAGACAGTTGCACCGAAAGTAAAACCCGTCTTAAATAATTGCATATGATTTTACAGTTGTAAATCATCAAATCATTCTTTGACAAAAAGTCTCCATCTTGAAATTCTCACAAAAATAAAAAAAAAATGCTTATTTTTCTTTTTCCCTCCCAATAAAGCAAAAATCAGTTTCACAAAGGAGAGCTCTCAGCTCTCAGCTTTCTCCCCATCAATGGCTTCTGACCAGAGCCATGGCGATCTCGATCGGGCATTGAACGCTCTTGGACCCGACAGCCCCGGCCCTCAGAGCCTGTCCTTCCACCTTTCTCAGTCTGCTTCCTGCTGCCGTGTCGAAACCGAAGACTCCATGAAAATTGACCTCTCCAGAGATGACATTCCATACTTGTCTTGCTTTCTCACAGCCTTGAGCTGCCACAGCTCCCTCAGAAGCTTGGAATTCAATCTTGTCGATTGGGAACTCGAGCAATTGCGAGAGCTTTGTGAGTTGCTTGATGGTAATTTGAGTGTTAGGCAAGTTGTGTTTCGACGAAACAGATTGAGTAAAGAATGCTTGGTGGAGTTGTGTCGTGTTTTGAGGACGAACAAAGGGATGAAGGAGGTTATGTTTTCAGAATGCGGAATTGGGTCAGTTGGGGTTGGTTTGATTGCCTCTGGTTTGAAGGAGAATGGTTCGTTGGAGGAGTTACAGATTTGGGAGGACTCGATCGGGTTGAAAGGAGCGGAAGAACTCTCGAAGATGGTCGAAGAAAACTCAACTCTGAAGTTGTTGTCCATTTTTGACTCAAATTCAATCACTATAACCCCATTGATATCTGCAGTTTTGGCCATGAATAGGAATATGGAAGTGCACATTTGGAGTGGAGAAAATGGAGGAAAAAGTTCAAAGGTGGTTGAGTTTGTGCCTGGTAATAGCACACTCAGAATCTATAGGCTCGACATAAATGGCGCTTGCAGGGTTGCCTGTGCGCTCGGGTTAAACTCAACGGTTAAGACGCTGGACATGACTGGAATCCGGTTGAAATCTCGGTGGGCAAAGGAGTTCCGACGGGCGTTGGAGCAAAACCAATGCCTGAAGGAGGTGAAGTTGTCAAAAACTCACTTAAGAGATGAGGCAATTCTGCATGTAGCAGCTGGACTTTTCAAGAACAAGCACTTGCAGAGTTTGTTTCTTGATGGAAACTTGTTTACGGGCATCGGAGTCGAGCATTTACTCTGCCCTTTAAGCCGGTTCTCGGCCCTGCAACTTCAAGCAAACATAACTCTCAAATATGTAACATTTGGAGGTCGGAAAAATAAGATAGGAAGAGATGGGCTTGCAGCCATTTTACGGATGCTAACGACAAACGAAACTCTAACTCATCTCGGGATATACGATGATCATACCTTGAGACCCAACGACGTAGTAAGAATCTTCAGAAGTTTAGAAAAGAACGCCTCCTTGAGACACCTATCGTTACGCGGATCCAAAGGTGTAGATGGAGACATGGTGTTGCAGACAATAATGGAGATGCTCGAGGTGAACCCCTGGATCGAAGACATCGACCTCTCAGGAACTCCTCTTCAAACTTCCGGGAAAGCCGATAGAGTTTACCAAAGATTAGGACAGAACGGGAACACCGATCTCGAGCCCCAGGCAGATTCATTGGACATGACCTTGACAGAGCCAAAAAGTTGTAGGATTTTCTTCTGTGGGCAAGAATATGCAGGTAAGAACATTGTCTATTTCATGAAGCTTATAAACCTGAAAGTTTACTCTTAAACTTTATATAGTTTGAAATTGAACCATCAAACTAACTTTGGACACCCAAATTCAGGTAAAACTACTTTGAGTAACTCCATATTACAGAACTTTTGTTCTTCAAAACTTCCCTTCACAGACCAAGTCAGATCTTTAGTGGCTCCAGTTGAACAGGCAGTAAGAACAGTTGGAATGAAGATAAAAACTTTCAAAGATGAAGACATAAAATTATCAATTTGGAATCTAGCTGGTCAGCATGAATTCTGTTCTCTCCAAGATCTCATGTTTCCAGGGCCAGGAAGTGCATCAGTTTTTGTGATCATCAGCAGTTTATTCAGGAAACCAGGTAACAAAGAACTGAAACATCCGACAGAGATAGAAGAAGATGTCCAGTATTGGCTAAGGTTCATAGTCTCCAACTCGAAAAAAGCAGCACAACAATGCGTGCTTCCAAATGTAACTTTGGTTCTCACACATCATGACAAACTCATTCAACCTTCACATGACTTGCAGCAAACTTTGACTTCGATTCAGGGATTGAGAGACAAATTCCAAGGTTTTGTCGACATCTACCCGACAGTATTTACGGTCGATGCACGCTCGTCAGCATCAGTAAATAAACTCTTGCATCACCTTCAGAGAACGAGTCGGACTATCCTCCAAAGAGTTCCGCGAGTTTACCAGCTATGTAATGAACTGATACAAATTTTGACAGACTGGAGATCAGAAAACTACAACAAGCCAGCAATGAGATGGAAAGAGTTTCAAGATCTATGTCAACTTCAGATTCCACAGCTACGAATCCGCTCGAGGCGTGGCAGTAAAGATAAGATCGAAACGAGGAGGAAGGCTATTGCTAGATGCTTACATGACCAAGGAGAGGTGATTTACTTTGAAGAATTAGGATTTATAATATTAGATTGTGATTGGTTCTGTGGAGAAGTTCTTGGCCAACTAATCAGATTAGAATTTAAAAGCCAATCAACCAACAATAGTGGATTTATCAGTAGGAAAGAACTGGAAAAAGTTTTAAGAGGTAAGTTACAGAGCCAGATCCCGGCCATGAGTTCGAAGGTATTCGAAAACTTACAAGCTAGCGACGTAGTGGGAATGATGCTCAAACTGGAACTTTGTTACGAACAAGACCAATCCGACCAGAATTCCCCATTGTTAATCCCCTCAGTTCTCGAAGAGGGTAGAGGAAAGCCGCAGAGATGGCCATTAAGTATGCCCGACTGCATCTACGCAGGGAGACACCTAGAGTGTGATGATTCGAGCCATATGTTTCTAACTCCTGGCTTTTTTCCGCGACTACAGGCAAGAATTCTCTTGTTCTCTCTCTCTCTGATGGAACATTGTGAGTTTTGAATAACTAATCATTTGGTTTTCTGTTGGAAATACAGGTGCATCTGCATAACAAAATCATGGGACTAAGGAACCAATATGTAGCAACTTATAGTTTGGAGAAATACCTGATCACAATAAACATCAATGGCATTTATGTCAGGGTAGAGCTTGGAGGCCAAATGGGGTACTATATCGATGTCTTGGCGTGCTCCACAAAGAGCTTGACGGAGACTCTTCGATTTATCCAGCAGCTTATAATCCCTGCAATTCACGACCTCTGCCATGGCATCATCTTGACCGAAAGCATTATCAGGCCTGAATGCGTGAGAAATTTGATACCACCGAGACACAGGAAAATCCAACATGTCTCCATCCAACAACTGAAACTAGCATTGCTTTCCGTTCCTGCTGAGGGGATGTATGAATATCAGCACACATGGTGCCCCGTGTCAGATGGAGGTAGAGAAATTCTTGCAGTTGGCTTTGATTTTGCTCGAGACCTCTTATCCGATGATGATTTCCGGGAAGTTTTGCATAGGAGGTATCATGACCTTTACAACCTTGCCGTTGAACTGCAAGTCCCACATGAAAACAACTTAGAAGTAGTAGATCAGTCGCTATCCAATGACGAAACGGACAAAGTCGAAGCAACCTTTGGTGGAATTGCAAAAGGAGTCGAAGCTGTTTTGCAGAGATTAAAGATCATTGAACAAGAAATCAGAGACTTAAAGCAGGAGATAAAAGGTCTAAGATATTATGAGCATAGACTCCTACTTGAGCTTCATCGCAAAGTGAACTACCTAGTGAATTACAACGTCGAAATCGAAGAAAGGAGAGTACCCAACATGTTCTATTTTGTTAGAACAGAAAACTACTCAAGAAGATTGATTACCAACCTGATTTCCGGAATGAATGCTCTCCGACTACACATGTTATGCGAGTTCCGAAGGGAAATGCATGTGGTTGAAGATCAGATAGGCTGTGAAGTAATGCAGATTGACAATATGGCAGTCAGGTCTTTAGCTCCATACATGACAAAGTTCATGAAACTGGTAACATTCTCTCTCAGAATAGGAGCCCAGGTAGCAATAGGAATGGGGCACATGATCCCAGATTTGAGTCGGGAGGTTGCGCATCTAGCCGATTCGTCTCTTTTTTACGGGGCAGCAGCTGCAGGAGCGGTTGGGGCTGCAGCTATGGGACGCAGGGGAAGAAGCAGAGCTGGGGACATTCACCAAGATCTTAGAACAGCACAGCAATGGGTTATGGATTACTTGAGAGAACAAAGATGTTCAACCGGAAAAGACATTGCCGAGAAGTTCGGGCTGTGGAGGGTGAGATACCGGGATGATGGTCACATTGCATGGATCTGCAGAAGGCACATGAGCCTCAGAGCACATGAAATTATTGAAGTTCCCATTTGAAATGCCCAACATAATTCATAATATGCAAACTAACATCAAAATTTACAACAATAAAATTTTCTCCCAAGCTTAGATCTTCTACTGAAATTATTTCTTGTGGAAATTCTATAGTCCATTGTTTTGAATTTCTAACGTCGGGGCCAAAATAAAGCTATTTTAGTTTGAAAAGCTTGATCGAAAGGAGACATTCCTCGGGCTCACCACAAATGTCAATTATCGCTGAATTATGCTCGCTTTGACAGACTCGTCACAAATGATGGTATATATTGTACAGAGGAAATTACAACTAATAGCATAAACTAGTTATATTGCTAGATGAATTTTGTACCATAAAAAAAAGTTGAAATCCTCTTTTTGGTACTAAACTTTCTCACTTATTCACTTTGGTCTACTGTTTTTTTTAGGCATTCGTGGGGTCCTTTTTTAATCGAATTTACTTTGATATTGATTGTGACTTTACCACACAAATTCAAGTAATGTTATAAAATAATTTTTCTTAGAATATTATATTGGGATAAGATTTGAATCAATCACCTTTTAAAAGAAAGTAGGGATGTTTAACAATTAAGTCTTGTTTAAATAAAATAAAGGAACATTTTTTTAATGTAAAGTCTAGAAATTTACCTTATAAGATTTGGTTGCTGGAAGTGATAGTACTTACATATGTTTTTATATATATATCTTTAACAAGTATAGGAGGGAAATGCATAATAAAATGGGAGAAGAAAAAAAAATTTATCTTTTTTTTTATGAAAAATAAATAGTTAAACAAAATTTTTGTATCGATCAAGGTACGTATTAATCATCATAGGTGGTTCATTGGTCCAAAAAGGACTACGGTTAATTAGGACGGAATGTGTTAATTAGTAATTCCTTTCTTTCTTTGATCTTTCCAACAAAAGATATACGCCAAGTGTGCTAGCTTTAGCGATTTTAAATTGATGGAGGGATATTTTATAATTTTACAAAGGTAAAAAGTGAAAATGAGTCAAAAATCCGAATGGCAGATTACATGTGTCGTGCACCATACATCCACAAGGTTGGCACCCAATAAATTTGATATGATGATATGTAAGTTAATGACAAAAGTATGGTAATTTTTTAGCAAATTGTAATATTTGTTGGCATCGTGATAAATTGTGTTCAAGAAACACGATTATAAATGAACTACAATCAATGTTTTAAATGTCGATGTCGATGGAAATGTCGAAGTCTCGATTTCATGGAAATATTGATGAAAATATTGATAAAATGTCAATCACGGATATTTCTATAAAAGTTAGAAAAGTTAAAAAATTGTAAAAAATATTTAAATTAACGAATAAACATTTTCCTATTTCTAAATTAGTTAAAAATAATTAATATTAATATTGTGTATATATTAATGACATTTCGTTCATATTTTTTATATTTTGTTGATTTTCTTGTACTTTGGAAACACGGATACGTCAATGAAAATGTCGACGTATCAACAAATATTTAAAACCATAATACACTTCACTTCAATAGTCTTTGGCCTTTGACAATGGTATATTTTCCCTTTGATTCCTTTACCTTCTATTTGGTATTAAGAAAGTTTCAAGAAGTGCTCTTAAATCTTGTAATTTGAAATTCAAAATATAATTTTAAATTATTTATCTCATTTGGAACGAGAATAATTTAAAAATTATTATAATTAAATTACTTTGTTTCATGTTCGCTAGAAATGACAAAAAAAAAAGTAATTTATTGAATAAGTAATTTATTTTAAAATTTTTTAACAACAAAATTAATTTAAAATCACTTGAAATCCTAAGCAACCAAACAATTCCCTCTCAAAAAGTTCCTTTCATCTTTCAGGTGAAAAATATTTTCCTAATTTAGAGAACAAGTTGTAAGCAAGCAAAGAGCAATGCCCAAGGAATTATTGCTCGTTATACTCCCTCGAGGTTTCGATGCATCTTCAATCCTTTTCCTGTTAAATATACCGCTACAATAACGATTTTAAACGATTACATTGCACTTGTAGAAGAATAAGGGGTAATGAGAAGAAGATCGTGTCGATTTACCGTAGAAAATTATTTCACTTCTCAAGTTGTAGTACTCGATTTCAATGTGTGCTTCCCAATCCAACTTCATTCTTGACCCTGTCATGAGGAGATAGATTGTAAAAACTGGCCAAATACGCCAGGGCTTCGGCATTATTGTCACAGACTTTCCAAAGCGAATCGACCTCTCCCTTGGCCAAGGTACCCCAGTTTTCACAATCATCGAAAAATTCGAGTAACTTCGAGTAGAAAGAGTCATAGTTCATCAGCAGGAAGGGAACAGGAAGTTCTGACCCTATTCTCCTAAGCTGAATCAAAGCTAGAATCTCAAACACCTCGTCGAATGTACCGATGCCACCGGGGAGAGTAACAAAAGCAGTCCTATCAGAACTACAGCTTCTAACTCCAGCATCTACAAGCCCGTGCTTTCTTGCAGAGAAAAACCTGAATTACATAAAGCAGTTCAATCAGGAGAGGATCGACTGTTATGTGCTGTCAGATAACTATAGGATCTATGTCTTTCACCTGCAAGTAAAATAAGATTCTGAAGGTAGGTACGGATGAAACTTTGAGGATGTCCATTCACCAGATTCTCTACCAATTTTGAATCCACCTACAGGATTTCCTGCCTGCAGAGCGCCTTTTGTAACCGCATCCATAAGGCCTGGACCGACACCTGACCAAGTAGTGCAATCCAAAAGTTCTGAAATCTGCATAGCACGGATTTGAGAAATAGACTCACAAAATTGAAAGTTATTTATTTTATCTGTTTTTTGCATTTCATCACAACTTTTCACATGTAAGCATCTAAGTTTTGATGTTCTGCTCTTCGTAACAGTTGAACTGTGATACCTACCGGTTGATTGTCATGTATTTTCCTCTTAACTTAATCATAAACGATGGAGAATGGGCTTACCTCTCTACTCAATTCGAACGCTTCCTGGTAATGAGCGTGATCAGGTCCCATCCTTGACGAACCGAGATAAACAACTCCTCTACCTAGTCTGCTTATTAATTCATAGCATTTTGCTATCTCTGTTCTAACCTTAAATACAATAGAAGAAAATAAATAAACAACTGTTGGGCAAGGTAAAATAATGTTCAAAATTTCAATCAGAAAATAAACCAACTTATTTCATTAGCTAGATGATTGTATTGCTAAGAAAAAGGAAAATTAAGTGAAATTTAACTTTAAAAATTTTCATTTCGTCTAATATTTTCTGAACTTGAATAAGTGGTATTATTAATACCCTCCTCGAAATCAAGTTAGAGAATTCCAAAGACCAACCAGTCATAAATGTGCCTAACCCCAGTCAACCCCAGCCACAAAATGAAGCAGCACAAAGAAAACGCGATTCCCAAACCTAAGACACCCAAACCCGCCAAAAAAAACACTCAACATAGCCACAAAAAATAGGCAACAAGAGAAATAGTCTTACCTACCAATTGAAACACCTAAACCTAATCACAAATCTTATTTAAAACAGCAACTCGACCCCAAGAGACAAGATTCCACATGACGAAATTAATACATAATGGTAAGAACAACTCAAACCGCTAAAATTAAAGAGAATGTGCTCCGTAGAAAGGTAAAACCAAATATAATTTGTCATATCTCACTAGTACAAAAGACATATAAGAGGTTGTCTTCCTATCAAAATATAACTGAGATATCCAAGAAGCACAAGTGATGCTTTCCACCAAACACCAAAAAAAAAAAGAGAGAGAAAAGGAAATAGTGGCCTCCCTAGCAAGAAATGCACAATCCCTTCATGCAACAACTAACTAATTTTGATCTATACTATTCATAATGACATATCAAGCAAAAGGAAACAACCACTGGAAACTTCATATTCAAATTTAGAAAATCCTAATCCTAGTGGTTGAATTATGTATTTCCCGTTCTTTCTCACGGTCGAGATATCCTCTCTTTCACCCAAGACACGGATTGGTTGAAGTTGAACTATCAAAATTTTGGAGCATTAAGTGTACTAGATCAGCTGATTTCCTTTCTACGGGAACAACAAAGTAAAAGAAAACAGAACTAAGGATGCTTAATCTCTGAGATATTAAAAATCTAAAAACCCCCTATTTAACTGCAGATAAAGAATGGAGATATGCACATAAACAACTACGTGGCATAATGTCAGTACCATAAATTCAATGTAAATATCTCCTAGAAATCAAACAAAAAAGTCACATGTTCTAAAACAGACAATTTCAGTAGTTTCTTCTGGATTCCATGGATCTCGACGTTTTGTCTTCATTGACATACAGACATTTTTCTCAAATGATTTAAATCATCCAACAAAAAGTAAAAAATCAAAGTAACCTGGAGATTTCAGAAGAACCAAACAAAAGAGTTAAAAAAAAATTTGCTGGAATTTAGAACTACCTCGACGGGACTTGTCCTCTCTTCAAACTCAATTGCTTCATGCTTGCGAAGTAGGGCTCTCGCTGGGTCACACCGAGACTTTGAGAATCTGAACACCAATTTCTTCTCTCTTTCATCGAACGAGTGGAACTTCACAGTCCTCTGGTGAGAATTTCGCACCAAAAATTCACATCGCGAAGAACCCAACATCGAGAAACTCATTCTGAAACACCCCGATTGTTCAAAGAACTTGATTCTTTGTTTTTTCAGACAAATTCGTCAAATACTCCGCGACGCGTGGGAAATAGAAGGCAGCAGAAAGAATGACGAACTGGGGTTTGAATTTCGAGGGTTTAATCTATACGGGGAGTGAGAATTGAGGAATCAAAAGTTCAAATTTGATCGCGAATTTGGATTTAGCTATACCCGAGCTTCGAAGTTTCCGAACAGGAAGGCTAAGGACTGTAGTTTTTGAACGAAAGGGAGGGTATTTGGGTCTTTTCACACTGGAGATGAAAGATGGAAGATGTCCATCAAGAATTTCTTTTTTTATTTTAATGTATTTTCAATTTTGGAGAGTTTTTTTTTTCCTTTTTTAGTACTTAATTCTCTCCATGGATCATCAGATCTAATTCACAACTTTGCGGGTGGGGATTCGAACCTACCCTTTTTGGTCGAGAAATATGCCTTGACGAGTGGGAAATTGGGATTTTTGACCCCTTTCAATAACCACTTTATACTTTTGACCCCCTTTTRATTTTTACCTATTTATGACCCCTCCACCTCAGATTTCTGACCCCTCTCCTTATTTTGCGGTGTAAAATTACCAAGTTACCCTCAATTTAAAAAAAGAAATCAAACCCAGCCCTCCCCTCCTTTCCCTCCCTGTCTCGGTCATTCCCCTCCCTCATTCACTATCTCGTTGTCCATCCCAGTTTTCATCCCGGTCTCTCCCTCACAACCAGAAAGTTCATCTCCGTCGTTTCTTCTTCATCTCCCTCACTTCGTCTCTATCAAAGCTTTCCTCCTTCCCTAATTGAGGTAATTTTTCTTTCGAACTCGCGATCTTATTGTGAATGATTTTCTACCTTTTTTTTCTTCGTTCTTTGCGTGG